AGAGATTATTTTCAAATTATAGGAACAAAAAATTAGCAAATTTACAAACGTTCTCATGAACATTATGCCTTTAGATAACAACATTTATCAGAATTACCATAGTGGATAACTTCTTATTTCCTCGCTTTTGCGACGTATTCATCATTTCAATAGCTACTTTAACTATACTTTTAGCGTGTGTTGATTGATATTGCGGTATTCCACTAGCTACCATATACTTATCGCCCAGTGTTTCTACCTGATCGTGGTACAATTATAACAAATTTTTCGACCATTAACATAGTTTATGAAATATCTATAGTCCTATATGGACTGAGAATATAGCAAAGATCTTATTTTCAATGGTACTTAGCTTGTAACGATATAAAACTACACCATTAAGTGCATTCGAGTCTAAAATTTTAATTTACCTTATAGAATTCATCACCTTGGCGATCAATAATCTGATCAAATGTAATATATATATCATTCAGCAACGCTATTAGTTTCGTTGGCTCAATATTTGTTGTTATATCTTGAAATGTTGACACTTTACAAAACATTACAGATGCCATACTATGTTTACTTGGAACAGCTTTGTGGCCAAGTCGAAGCTGTTTCGCTACAGAAGGAGGCATGACTGAATATAGTAATTCCCCCGTTAAATCTTTCTCCTTTTGTAATTGCTGGTAAGTATCAGCTAAGCGATCATTTAATGTTTCTAGTTGCAACATCATTTGATAATCATGGCGAAAATGGTCAGATCTTAAAATAACATTCCGGCTAGCATCATAACGTGGTATATCGCATAAATATAACCCGTGGCTTCGCAATTCTTCTAAGCTCGATATACTAACTGAACAATGAAAGAGCATCATTTCATTTTCCTCTAAATATATCATTTGGCCTTTAAATCGTACGTCAGACCATTGCAGATATTGCTCTAGAAAACTTGGGCATAGTGGCTTCATGGTTAAAACAAATACGGTATTAATATGAGATAGAATAGAATGAAAGTCGAATTGAATAACTGGTCTCACAATTTTAAATATTTTATCCATTTTCAAGTCTCCTAAATAAAAGCCTGGTATCATTCGTTCAATAACATGGCCCAACTGTTGTATAGATAAATCTCGATCGAATAAGACATGAAAAGGAAAAGCTCGACAAAAAGTGGTCGGCGCAATAAAATTGCATGTCTCAGAATTCTTCGTTTGCTTTCCTTGACGTTGTTGATAGATAGGGATGGATGATATAGTAGTTGAGCTAACAGCTTTAGTCGATGTTGTAGAAGTATTATCGGCAGCAATACCATTACTGGTGCTACTAGCAATAGACCGCCGCAATCGATCATGGCATTTGATTCTTGCTTTTGCTGGATTTTTGGAATAGATTAAAAATTGGATATCGTCTAATTGATTTTGTCTTGTTTTAACTACTTCCATGTTAATATCAATTAAGTGAATTTTTTCAGCAACTTCTTTAATGATTCCTACAACAATATATTCTAAGTTGGGTCGAGTAGAGTAGTAATGAAGTGTTATGGTATCATTATCGCTGTTGTATTTGCATCGGAATGATGGAGCCTTCATTCCTGAATAGATTGTGGCTAAATGATCGTGTAAACTGTCTAAATTGTTGATAAATTCGAATAGATTACTTCCCATTACTTCAAGAATTCTTTTATATCCTAGTTCTTCGCAAAAACTAACAAAAAATCGGCCAAACGTTTCCAGTAAGTCATTAACTTGGATACCTGCGCCATGATTTGGTCATTAAGAAAAGAGAAACATTTTAATTTGTACCATACGATAAAATCTATGCTCATTATGTAAATTTATTAAAGAGATTATTGATCCTTCAATCTTGCGATGTCGTGTAATTGTGAAATGGTTAGTGTGAATATCCAAGAGGAATCAGATATCGAAAAGATTGAATTAATACTTTCTCAGTCCAACAATTTTTATATGGCATTATGGTACTAATCAAGCAAAATACAAGCAACTAAATTTGTATACTGTACTAAAGTAAGGACGTTTCACTTTTTATATCAATTAAAGTAATTTTATGTTATTAAACAAGCAAGGTTTGATAGTATCATTATTTTAAAATAGATTTTAATTTGTACATTACTCAAACTGCATACATATCAAACTTTTGCTAATGTGGAATGAAATCTTCCGTTATAAATTATAATTATTAATCACATCTGCTACTGTGCAAGGTCATCTATCGACCAGTAGATGAAGCTATAATTTAGGTAGTCTAGAGCTGATTTAGTCCGATAGTCGTCATCTGATGAACCATAAAGTTTTCAATTTTTATATCAGAATGTACATTTAAAGTTGTTTTTATAGTACTGAATAGCGCGTAAGTATAGTACTTTAACAAGTCTAAAGTAGAGTAGTTCTACGTAAGCCTGTCAAATAGTTTTCATGTTTTACAAATTTAGATACTTTTGATTTTGAAGGTTTAATTAAATTTGCATTTTACTGCTTTAACGAAAATTTAAAGGGTAAATTAAGTTTTTAACGTTATCCAACCTAGTAAAAATTTATGCAATAATAGCAATTTCTCATACATGGAAATGATGAATACTATACTTCATGAAAGTATTAAATTGATATAAAAAATAGATTTTTATCATCCTCCTTACTGATGCTTATTTTATTAATTAATAAAAATAATTGTTTGACTAAGGGCAAAGAGATAGAAGAACGTTTATAGTATTCACAACTTCATATCGATAAATTATAATTTTTAGAACGCACAAGATAAATTATTATTTACAAGTGCAGTCGCTAGTAAGTAATCCGATTAGTGTAAAGAAATTGTGACGGCTAATACAGACTAAAGCTACGAGCTACTAATGTATTTAAATTTACAGCAAAGCTTAATAAGTTTAACCTAAAACTTCAGATGCAGTCTTGACCAATTCGAACGTAACATCGTCAGCGTAGACTTTACGTTGTATAAAATAACTGCTATTTGACATTCCTATCTTCTCTCTAGTCATAGGGAAGATAATAAGAATCAAAATTCATAAACAAGAAGATATAAATGACCGCAAATCAGCTTAAGCAATGTTTTAAGTACAGTTATTTATTACCTGATTGAATCCCAAGCTTCATCACCAAAATTACGTTTTACAAGTAATGATAAGGCATGATTAATTAAGCCATGCTGTTGAAAAAAGAAAGATTCATCCATTAATAAATATATATCCAATCAAGTGTATGGAAATAGAATCAATTATTTTATTACAGTTTTATCTATTTTAATTCAAATATTACGCTAGAAAGGGTAAAGACAGTAGCATATCATACATTGTTTTTTATTCAGTTTACATTTCAAGTATGTTATCAAGAGTGTAAGAATTTGAAAACTCATAAAGGATCGTATTAAATAATAAAAAGGATGTCATAATTTTACTCTCAGTGCAAACCTTTGCATGTTTACTAGAATAAAAAGGACTGATATGAAAGTGTTAATAACGGGATAACACTTTAACTTAATTATTTCCATGATGTCAGGCATCACATTGAGTAAAAGTGACATTTTGTATGAAGAAAAATAATTCGCCCTATCTACTAATTAATTTTAATGTTAAGGTTTTCTTATCATTCGTCATTCTTACTAGTGCAATAGTTGGAGATAAAACCATTCCAATTGAATATCATAAAGACTTAATTAATGATGCTAGCTGTTTGATATCTATGGAATAGGTACGAAGGTTGAAAGATTGTAAATATCTTTAAAGTAAAAGTTCCAAATTTTTGAAGCAATTTTGCAATTGCTAATCTAAAAAATTAATGTAATGATTTATACCGATAGTAAATGGTACATGGTGACGATTTGTAGTCAGTATTTTAATGTTTGATTATAAAGTGTTGATGATTGAAAACTTTAGGTAAAATAACCTCAATTTATTTAGGTTACATCAAATATTGTACATCTTGAAGTCTTTAGAAATAAGGGTATTGCTAAATAGACAAGCTAAGCAAAAGGACCTCACAAATACGAATATAATATGGTACTTGTCGATTGGCTAATATAAACCAACTGAATGAAGATATGGCACGTTGCATATGAAAATCTGAATAATTATAGTTAAGAAATATGATTTTCTCGACACAGTTATATAAGGACTGTATTCAATTATTTAATTAAACTGAAATTTATCATTCTTTTACGGTAGCAATTGAAAACTACCTATCGGTGCTACCTTGTGCTTTACAACGAATATCTCTATTTTTCAAATATTTAGGCAGTTTGAGATATATTGTATCAATTACTATTAGAAAGTGGCCTACTTCCTATTATTACGTAAGTGCTATTGAATTGATTCAGATTTATTATCACTGGATGTATAAGAAATATTCAGACCAAAAATCATGCAATTTAAATCAATTTACTTAATATGTAATAATTTTTTTATTGCAAGCTAGTACTTCTAATTTTTCCTTATAAGACTATTGTGCATGGAAAAGGATAGCGGAAATAGTAGTTTTAATGGTGAGATTCCTCGTTTGATTTGACGACTAACGATAAATTTACCGCTCAGGATTCATATACAACATGTACCGATACATCGTATACTATATATGACAGCAATAAGAAGGGATTCTTTAACACTAATTTCTCAAGTTAAATAATCATTTCGAAGTTGTATGTATATGAGTTAATAAATGTAATTTTAATTACAGGATGGAATAGGAATAGATCAAGAAATATGTCACGCTTTAAAGCAGACATAATTATTAATATAAATTTAAATGTTATTACACCAACGATAAAATAAATGTATCTTAATAGCTAAAATTTTTATTTTGAAGTTAGCGCTTAGTCCGCAAGGGATGGAAATTACTAGATAAATTTCTACGTGGACGTATTTGCGATTTAATTAACTATATAGCTGAATAAACTATAGTGATTGACTGCAAAATTTGCTAATTTATCTCCTGGTAGGATGACCTTTATTACAGTAAGTTAAAGTTTATGGGGCATGGTAATTTGATAATAGGTGTTCGAATTTGTACTTTTGTATCGCTTTTATTAAATAAATCCATAGGAAATTATATTAGAAGACAAATCCTCAGCTATAAACTATCTTTCTAGGCTATATGTTCAAACTAGTATAACCCATATACAAATAAAAGGTGAATATGGCTAAATTAAATTAGCCTTTCCTTGCTTCTCTCCTAAATCTTGCTCCGATACCACCAAGTAATGGTGAAATTCAAATTATAAAAATTTACTGACTTAATAATTAATTAGAGAATGACTTTTGTTATATAACTGAAATTTTGAAATTTAAACTCAAGGTAAACTTTCCTGCTGTAAAAGATCTTCTTATGTGTAAGTATCTGACAGCAGTTGATTTCTGTTTAATCTAATATTGTACCTTTTACTTTTCTATACTATTGAGAAGTGCATAATTAAATGTTATGATAAGAGTATCGATTAAGAACTGTGTTTTCCTCAAACTAGAAGGAAACTAGAGCTTGCATGTCCCTTTTGAACTAAAAAATATCTAGCGTAGAAAAATGGAAAATTCAATGTAGCAAGATATGACTACGAAAACTGCAATCTTTTGATACTAATAATCTAACAAATACTCGGCAGCTTATTATTTCTTTATTACGAGATAAAAGTAGATGAAAATTGTAATATTATTTTCTATTTATCAATTCTTCTATACTTAGAATTTACTAATTTCTACTGGTAGTTATTTTGTTTTTATATAATTCTATTTATTGGCTACAGAGTGATAATACAGGTACAAAAATTGAAAGTCTGAGCTTCATGATACTTCAAAAGTAATAGGAGTTGTGAAATCAATTATGCTATAACGTAATCGTTTTAAATATTTTAGAATATGCTTAAATCGTGATTAAGATAGTAGTTAGAGTGGATTCCGTCTACTAGAATTAGTTTCTCCGTTTTAACTTACCATAATGACTACAGGACGATTCGAACTGCTTGGAAATATCAACAGCCAAAATTTCTACGTTCAAAATTTATGTTCGCATAAGTTTAATTAAGCTTGAAAAAGGAAGAAAACATGGAAATGGAAGAGGAGAACTCTAGTAAACTTATATAGATATGGGTTTCTTTAAAATAATCATTAGAAATAGAATAAAAAATAATATACAAGAACTTTTTGTCAGTAGCAGAAAGAAACAATAATGAAAATAGATAAACAGCAGCCTGAATCCTTATTGTTATTTTTAATGATTTATGGTGCAATGCTAAAGGTAGCTTTTAGAATTAGTAACCTTATGGAATATTTAGCAGAAAGAATAGCTTCAAGATGAATAGTATTCTAATGCTTTTAATTAGATCAATTAGTCTTCTTTACGATAAAGAAGGTCAAAAATAATAATAATAGGAATGACTAAAGAGATAATGGATAAAGGAATTTATCTATATTATTATAATAAATATTTAATATGGTGATCATCTCTGCGAGTGCCTGTCCTATTGTTGATATAAGCTCTCGAATTGAAACTGATAAACTTCCTTATTCTCATCGTTAAGGCTCAATTCTACTAAAAATAATAGATATTGTTATACTAAAAATTGATTTCCATGGCAACATAAGTCTTGATTATCCTTACATCGATTTCAACTTTGATATTATTTGTAATGCAATCTGTGTCATCACTTAAGTGACGTATTTATAGGATTAGAATTGTCTATTTGACGATGATCAGCCTCATTTATTATGAGTGTTAGGTTTATTGGAATGCAAGCCATTTTATTACGTAAATGCTGATCGAAGATTTATTAGATATATTTATTGTAAATAGAAGATGGTCTTTTATTTAATACAACTATAACATACTTCATAAGACACGAACTACTGAACAGAATCGAATGCAATATTTATTGAAGCTAAGGAACTATTGAATATGACCAACTATTTGAAGCTAGGCGCTAGGAAGTACTTATATTAGAATTGGACCACAATAACCTAATGTAACGTTTTATTAGAATTAACGACGGTATTCCTTAAAGAAGTATGGGTAATTAAATTTATACTTTCTTTAGAGTCTCTAGTAGCCCCCATTTTAACATAAATTATTGATTTTTACTTTTGTTATTTCTTTGGTTTATAACTTCTGTAAAAGTTATATATAATTTCTGTGATAAAGTATTTAATGATAAAATTTCTTTGATATTTTTGGAAAACATAGAATAATAGTTCAAAATTCGTTATCATCACTAGATTATTAGTCATAGATTAATTTATTACAGGTCATTAATTAAATTTAAAAGAGTTACGGTAGAGGCTTTATAATGTTAGATTGTTATAATATTTAAGCTTATATAATTACTCTTAGCTGAAATGACATCATTAGATTTATAAAGTAGCAAATTGCCTATTGTAAGTTCCTTTCTATTATTATACGATGAGGTAATGTAGCTATCAGCTTTTGTTTAAAAATGACTTTAATGGTTTATGATATATCATATTCTTAAATGCCATAGCCGAAATGAAATTTTGATATTAATAATCTTGCATTGTCAGCAATTTTATGTTCCATACAACTTGCTAAATGCCTATGTTTCGCAACTTGATTTTCATCTGAGTGTTATAGCACTAAAGTATCAAGCTGGGACAAAATAATTGTTACGCTAATCAATAATTTAATCTTTCATATCTACTGAAGTCCATATGGGAGTGTTGGAATTTTTACCTTGGAAATTTTAATTTCAAAAATATTCTGTTTAGATCGTAATTAGCACGTTTCTTACTGAAATAGAATATGCAGTTTAACCATCTAACAGTGAATATCAGTTCGTTAGACCACATCAATCAGAATGTAAAAATGAGCAATATTTAACAATATAATTTGTCATGCCTAGATAGACAGATAGTTATTTATGAACTAAAATAGCTAAATCTTAAGTTTTATACCAGTTTTGTTTAAATTTATGCCTTAACTCGTAAAGCTGGTAATAGTTTATAGTCAAAAAAGAATGAAAGCTTAAAATTTGGTGGTGATAGATTGTTATATCATACAAAATGTTGTTTTGAAAGTATTGGCAATATAATTTATTGTACCTAAGTAAAAGCAAGTGTCGGGGTACTAAATCCAACAGTTTGTGTTCTTTTGGTTTTGTTAGGTCATATCTTAAGCATGAATTTAATGCTTATAGAAAATTCGTAAGCTTAATATTGGGTATCGTTACCTTAATGTTGG